AACATAAAGTACTCGTTGAAACGTGTCCAATGCAACAAACCGCGTCAAAATCAAAGCTCAAACAAAGCCGTACGGACCGCTCAAAGTTTGCCCAGAAAATGAGTTCTTTCTCTGGAAAAGACGATCCAGCAAGATATAAATAAATGATCACGTGCTTCGCGGTTGCATTACACCATATTGATTTGAGCCGTTAGATCCACTTTGGCTATAATTACGCCATCAGGAATCTGCTCATATCGATCCAATAGTCCTTTCCAACTATCTGACGCATTTCGGGTCCATTCGTACAGTCAGAAATTGCAAATTCAGCTAAAAAATAACTAAATAAATAAAAATACAAATAAATTACAGATTTGATTCCGATATCACTAAGCACCCTACTTTGTCTCGGCTTCATTCTGATTTCGCCACGGCACCGAACAGGGGCACGGAATCCATTTCAAATCATTATCGGCCTACTTGGCAATTTTGGCCCAAGTCAATTTTATTCCTTCCGAAAAACAGATCTAATTCAAAAGCAATAGGGCAAATATATTGTCACGACCCAAACTCGCCCCTATAGGTTTAATACCGTAACCGGCCAGTAATCCGAGATTACTGAATGCCTGCTTAACAGTAATACAGTAATACAGAGTACAGGGGCATGGTGAAAGCCAAAACAGTAAGTAAACAGTGTCCAATTAGCTGTGACAGTCTGTATGCAAAAAGATTTTTCATACATATATACAATCAGTGCAAAACAGTTTGTACAACATTTACAATCATCCAGGTCAGGAACTTAGTCCCTATTAAGACAGTACGGTACAGTTTTATTAGTCTATACAACATTACAAAAACAGATACAGAGACAGACGGAGGAAATTAAAACACCCCTAAGCCATAGCTTGGTAGGCTCGGAACCTCATAGTGAGGCACATAGGTTGGCTTGACAAAACTGGAGTTTACCCCGACGCTTCTAGCAACGGCCCGGTGCCTGTACACCTATATATATATGAGCAGTGAGCTAAAGCCCAATGAATAACATAATGCGTAAAGAGGTTAAGAATGAATGTCCTTTCAGTATTGAAAACAGACAATCATTTCAATCAGTATGTCAGTTATTCAGTCATTACAATCATATGTGGTACATCCACTAGCAAAATAGTACAATAGGTCTTCTCAGACCAAACAGTCAGTTGATGGCCATCATATCAGTAAAAAGTAGTGGTTCCAACATGGGAACTGACAGGGATCTTTGTAACAGTAGCAGTAACAGTAGTTGCTAAGGATGCCACAATACAGTTCACAATTAGGACATCATTCATTCAGTAACAGTATCATTTCAGAAAACAGTACAGTTTAATTGTTCAGAATATAATTGTATTTGAACATATCTTTACACAGCTATTACTCACAGAGTTCTGGGCTACAGTTAAACTATAACGCGTCCTCATATGCCAACCCTACACAGTTACAAAGTGAACACACACTAAGTTCACAGTTGGGAAAATAATAACTTAATCCCTATCTTAACTCGATATGGTTCTACATCTATATCCTCATTAAGATGCCTTAAACTAGGCCTAAGAATGCCTAGAATGAAATGAGGATGCAAATATGCAATTTAAAAGCATTTTCAGAATTTTCAGAAAACAAGGGTCCCGCTCGAGCGTAGGTTACTCCGCTCGAGCGAACATGCAGACAAAGGTTTCCGCTCGAGCGTAGAATTACCCGCTCGGGCGTACTGCAAAATAGTCAAAAGTGTTGGATGTGTGAAAATTACGCTCGATTGGATGTTCGACATCCGCTCGAGCGTAAGACACAATGTCCCGCTTGAGCGTAAATTACCCGCTCGAGCTGACTTAAAAACATAACAAAATGCTGGGAGCACGATTTCCACGCTCGAGCGCCAGTCACCCCGTTCGAGCGTGAGTTCAAAATCTGGAATTCCCATATTTGAACCTCAAGCTCAAATTCAACTCCAAATGTATCAAATTCGATTCCTTTGGGCCCATTTCCTATAAAGCACTTCAAAACTCATAGTGTAACGTGATTCAAAGCTCAATTATAAAAATCAAAGCCCAAAGGTAGTTCAAATAAATCTAATTTCAAACCAAAACTCAAGAACATAACTCAAACATGACATGCACGAGTTTAAACCAATTCAAAGCTTCAATTACTTCTCAAATGAGTCAATTCCTTCAAAACCAAGATGAGTTCATGGTCCAATGCAAAAATATGAACATACAAGTGCCAAATTCCATGTATTCAACCTCAAAATGTTAGGATATAAGCATGCGTGTATGGAATGAACTTCAATTCAACAATTTAAAGTTAATTCATGCCCTTAATTTCTAAACTTCCATAAACCATACAACATATAACTTGATTACATGAACAAGAAGGTACAATCTTTGCCTTAAGTCTTGAATCAAAAGCAAGGAGGCTCAATTATGCAATCTCTCTTCACTTCCTTCAAATCTCTAAACTAAAATTGATGAATTCAAGTTGAAAACACTCTTTTCCACTCACTCTCTCACTCTAGTCGGCTATGCTCTCAAAGTGGCTGGGGAAGAGTTGTGTAATGTAAGACTAAGTATTAGACAAAGTTTGGTGTAGTGGCCCACTCAAATGGCAAAGTTGTAATTAAAGCCAACATATGTAATTTATCAATATTGATCCAATTTAATCATACCAAATCATTTTCAAATAAACACACCATAAAATCACATAAATTCTAATGATCAGAAAACATCAATCGATTCCGGATTCGGCCGCCGATAAGGCCTTCAATTCGCAATTTAAACATAAAACATGGACAGATAATTTAACAGTCAAACAGATAGAAATGCATTTAAACTAGTACATTCAATCAGTCAGTTCAGTATTTCAGTCGATTCAATTACTTATCACAATCAGTCTCAGTTTAGCAGTAATCAGCGGTTAACCAGTAATCAGCGGTGAGGGTTATTACATATACGTTGGACAAGAAACTCAACTTCACTAAATTGGCAACAAATATACGTTATACAAGAAGCTCAACTTCACTAAATTGGCAACCATTGCCAACCAAGTTCTTAGCAAACCTAGCCCCGAAGGAATGCTGACAGACAAAGGTAAGAAAAGTCGCCAACCAAACGATCGACACAATCAACGACCCAAGTATAAACGGACACCGATGTTTTGGCACTAGTTACTCGGTAGTGCATCAACTCTACCTGGAAAGATTATTCGACCATTATTAATTCAACACTATGCATGATCATTATTTGGCTGTGCACCTACTTTATTCGGCTAAGCAACATTATTTGTCAACTTTATGCATTGTCAAACTTTATGCAGCAACATTGGCCACAGTATTTGGCAACTTCATTCGCCTAACAACGTTATTTGGCAAAACAATTGCCCACTGAGACATCAGTCAATTTTCCGCTTTCCATGGGCACATCAGTCGATCATCATCTTGGCACCTTTGATGTGCATGCATACTCGGCCAACTTGGTACAAACATTACAACGACGTTTACTTGAGTTACAAACTCACGCTCATTTTCACACAACTTGAAGCAAGCGCCCGTTTTGGGGCAATACATTACACTTGGCAGTCGCAATTTGTATATTTTTGCATGCCTTCATTTTACCAAAGCCGAATCATCCCTGCAACATGGGGCAATGGGAATTTATATTCCTTCCGACTAACACTTGTCATTCGAAAGCAATGGGAGAAGTCTACCTTGGACTAAACGCAAACCAAGCAACTCGGCAATTAAATAGTTTGCTCAATATCTACTTGGCAATTCCATACAAGTGGAGCAATAGTATTGGTGATTAACACGTCCACCTTATTCGGTACAGGATACATTATTCAAAGTCCTTGCCATATTGGCACTTGGTTGCCACTTAAAATCAGCAAAAGTCTCCGAGTACAGCGCAATCATCGCACTCGGCACAGAGCGCTGTTAGCAGTCAGCAAAAGCCTACACCCTTACCCGGAGATTATAATACCGCAGGTTTACACCCTTATTCGAGGGTTATAATACCGCAGGTCTACACCTTCACCCGGGGGTAATAATACCGTGGTCCATTTTTTGGTTGATATATCTACCTTATTTAATATGTCTTATTTGGTTCAGGCAATCATTTCCGTGCTCAGCATGTAGAAATATTTATAACTCGGCATGAAAGTCCAAATTTGGAAGCAATCTTTGCACTCAACAGTATACTACACCCTTACCTAGGGTTATAATACCGCGGCCTACATCTTTACCCGGGGGTTATAATACCGTGACCGATCTTTATAGAGATAGTATTACTCACTGGGCTTTAGCTCACCTCTCTCCTCTATATATATATATATATATTTGTACATACATTCATACACACATGCATTCATCCAGCCACTCATTCATCTATGTTATTCATTTATCAAATGTATTATTTGTCAAAGGACCTAACATCTATTTGAACAGAATAAATCGACAATAAAACTCTCGTTCCTTCTACCGAAAACAATGAAAGTTTTTGGACAATTGTGGGAGCCAGGAAAAAATATATATCAACTTACTGGACTAACCGAAACAAGGCCTGCCAACGGCCTAACTATAGGGCTTATTCGGCCCACCCCCGTCTATAAACTGAGGGGACCTTATAACATACAGGTATGATGTCTTTTCTGCTCCACACAGCACACAAACACACTTTACTATTCTTGATTCTTCATTCATGGATATTAACTTTATCATCGGAGTACTCCCTGCCGGCAATCCCGGTTGGGTGGCACCGACTATGTTCATCATTGCAGATCTACAAGGGCGAAACTTTTCTCTTCGTTGGATCTCTACAACATTCACGTGAGAGAATATTTCATGATTTCATAAAAGTTAAAAAATTAACAAAAACATTCATATATTTTTTATATTTTTTTCTCAATTTTTTAATTAAAAAAATAAAAAATATATTTATTTAAGGGATTTCAAACAACCTTCAAAGTTATTCTAGAGAGCCTAATGGGACGCTGTAAAGTAAAGTGAAAAATAAAGGAGAGAAAGGACGCGGGGGACAACTTTTGGGCGCATGCATTCGGCTTTTCCGCGGCTTTCGAAATTTCATGTTCCCATTCCAATCCCCACCTTGCTTCGCTCCAGCGGAGTATCCAAAACCTTAATCATTTTTCTCTCTCATTTCCCAAACTCTCTCTTCTCTTCTGTTGAAGATCGAACATGGAGGCTTCTCAATCTCTGCTCCAACGCTATCGCAGCGATCGTCATCAGCTCCTGAGTTTCATACTCTCGTCAGGTTTGATAAGGGAGGTCCGGTCCCCCACTGGTCCCACCTCCTCTGTCTCCGACTCTGATCTCGAACTTCTCAGCGCCGATTACGTCCTCCAATGCGCACAATCCGGTTAGTTTCACCCCTGTTTGGTTGCCGAGAAACCGTAGGGAAAAAAAAAAGTTGAACTAAAAAGAGTTAACACAGTACTCCGTTTTTCTGCAAAGAAATCAAAGAATTCATAGCCAAATTAAACTAATACAACTATTTGCCTGAGTGTGTTTGTGTCTTTTAAACTATTTGGTTCCCCTTTTTAATTTTTTCCTCTGTTTTCTCAACAACCAAAGGGGGGATTTTTATTTAGTGGTTGACGTTTGCGTTAGGACTGTTTTGTGAATTGTTCATATATAGAGCTAACCAATTCAAAAGTTGTGTGTTTGTCAATAAGTTAATTAAAAAATTTATGTATGCACCAGGTAGAAGAGGAATCTCTTCAAATTCAAGACTAGTCAATTATGCAAATTTTATTTTATTTTAAAATGACTGATTTTGAACTGTTTCATTTTTACAGCACATATATCTAATATTATTTATGTTGTAAACGGACAAGTTTTTAAATTGCTTGATTCACATTTTTGGGATAACCAAGCTGGTTCTTATTCAATTCATAGCTTTCAGTGCTTTCAGTGGGTAAATTGGCGTTGTTTTGTTTTGATTAGGTGAGGTGCTTGATATCTCCAAAGCAACGAAGAAGTACTATGATGAATCTTCTTACCCTGTAATGGTAAGGGAACATTGTCTTGTTATGATCTTCTATTGTTCTTCAGCGGAAAAATAAAACTTATATTATTTCTTCGTTGCACTATCATATTATCTATACAAACAATATGATGTACAATCCATATATCTTAACACGATGGCCTGGTTATACTATGCACAAGTTTAAAACACTTTTGAATATTCTCTGGTTATACAGTGCATAAACCATAACTTAGAAGATTGCTGTAGCCCCAAATACAAATACTACAAACACCTAAATTTGGCAATGATCAAGCAATTAAGTTGACAGACCATCAACACTTCTCTCCCAAAAGGGAAGTAAAAACTTGGAATTTCATGCTAGTAATCAAATCTCCATTCTCTTCTTTCATTCCTTCCACCTCGTAATCACACAAACCCCTATGCATTCTGATATTGAGCAGTCACTCCACTGCCTGAAACTATAAGATACTCTGCATCTATTGCATCTTTGTTAATTACAACCCACCAATAGCTAAGAGAAGAACACCTTTTGCATACCCTCCCCCCCACCTTGTTTGTCATGTTAAAAGTTAACTTTGCTATAATGAGGAATAGTGACATTTCAAAAGCTAATTTTACTACCGGTGAGCATTAGTAAGTGGTAAAATACCATGAGAAAATACTTAAAGTAATATGTTTATTGAATTTATCTCAACCTTTTCGAACTTTTGTTCCAGAGCATATGGTATAAGAGCTGTTAACCTCCAATGAAGTTACAGTCATCATAGATACTCCATATTTAGCAGTCACCGCAGATCTCCAAATAACACCACTACCACACTATAGCTGATCTCCACAGTTTGCATCCTGTTCAAAGTTTGGCTGAATGAGGTGTAACCAAAGCTTTCCAACTGCCAGTTTCCCTTGAGTGGATAAACAGTTACCCAGCCGTTTATGAGATATTTGAACTTATCTCCTGCATACATTAAAAAAAAAAATAAAAAAATATCTATTTATATCTCCAGCCAGAATAATTTTCACTATTTTATGCAGATACATTCCCAGTTAGGGAATTCCTATTTTTTAATTTCAGACCCTGAATCTGCCGGATCTCCTCCTCGGCGTGTGCCTCCTTTATTTGAGGTGAACCACACTAGTAGTCATGCATCACATCCATCCAATCTGCTGAATCCTTTGGTTGACCGAAATGTTGCTGAATCTGGGGTGAAATATGCCTCCACTACAGAGACACCTTCAAAACCTGTGAAAACTGTAACTGTTCCTCCATTTGGATTACCTTCCCTGAATACAGGTATTGGTTGGTTTGATTTTGGGAAAAATTCACTTGCTCTTCATGGCTATGTGCTCACTGTTCGTTAGGTTTTTATATTGGTTTCTGAAAGCCTTGGGCTTTTACCTTTTAAGTGAACTGATATGTAGTTTTAGGATTTGTAAAGGATTATCTGATGATGACTTGCGGGAATCAGCCTATGAGATTTTGCTTGCATCTATGATATTTTCTGGGTACTCTCTCTCTCTCTCTCTCTCTAATGTGCATGTATGTGCACCTGTGTCAATTCTTTGCTTGACTTTTTACACATCTGCAACATATCTTTTTCTTTCTTTCTTTCTCAACTCTTTATATTGCTATGTGGCACAACTAGTCTTGAAATTCATGCTATTGAAGATAAAAGGAAAGAGAAGAGTTCTAAATTTCTGTCTGGATTGAAGAGTAAAAGGGATAGAAAATGTTTGCAATCTCAGCTTCCCGGAAGGCATTCAGAGCTCACTGATACCATTCGCGTTCAAATGCAGGTCAACTATATTGTGCTTTTCTTTTTCAATATCAGCAGTACTTTGCCTTTTTTCATATGTTGTGACCTATTTGTGGTAGTGATTGGCATGCAAAGGAGTCTCGATGCTTACTGAAATCTGCTTGTTCAGTGCTGGCCAAACTGCAATGCAGAACTTATATGTTACACTAAAAACTGGATGTAGGACAGTGCTTTGAAAACTCTGTAGTGCTGCCTGAATTGACTATGTGGTGGCCGGTGCTTAAACATTACCTGTACCTTTGGGGTTTCAAAATGTTAAATTATGTTTTGGGCTTTATAGATGGGAAAGAATTTGAATTTTCTTGGTTTCAAAGATGATGAGTCATTGGAATTTCAGGAATTTTGTTACTGGAATTCTGGACAGCATCTATTCTAGGGAATTTTTTTGTTAATAAAATGGAGATGAAGGTAGTAATAGTGTGAGAGTTATAGAGTGGGCTTTCAGATGAATGAAAAATATTAGTGGCTGGTTGTGATTAAACAACAAATCTTTACCACAAAAAATAGAATACCATCTTTTAAAGATGCTGGAAAATTATCTTAGGCGATCTCTTTATTGAAGTAGAAGAGTAAAGTATTGTTTGTAAGCTGGCTGTTGTCCTTTTTTCCTACTCAAACTGTTGTATCAATATTAGAGAAGTCAAAACTTTGATTACATAATTAGAAAAGATAGATCATCTAATTAAATTTAAACTAATGGTTCTTTACTATAGTTAAGTGCTGAACCGATATTAGGAGCCCTTTTGCAAACTTGGTTTTTAATGATAGCTACTTTGTTTGCATTTCCGCGGGGGAGGGGGGGGGGAACCCTGAACAGCCCCAGACACCTTTTTCTTCACTCCCTAACCTGTACCCTTTTATTACCACGTGTAAACCCAACAATCTACATAATTTTACTAAGCTTTTGAACACAAAACTAGATATATTCAGCCTTACAGTAGCCTTTTTTTTTCCTGCTGCCTCACATAATTTTTGGGCTAGCCCCTAGTAGACACACTCGTTTTACATCATGTACTCATCTGAATTTTTATTTTGTAGTTTCCTAAATCTCTTATTTAATGAAGTGAAGAATGGATGATGATTTTAATGCAGATTTCATATGTATGGGGACGAATGAGAATGAAGTATCCTTGCTAGAGAAAAAGAGAGAAGGCCATGCTATTTGTGCAGCATTGTATTGTAAAGTAATTGAAAAAAAAGGAAACTTGATGTTCAATATGATTGTGTTGCCATTAAAAAAGGAATAATAATATAGTGAAATAATAGTATGCAGTTGTGGTCAGTTTGTTCAAGCTAATGCTTCGGTGATGAAGTTCCTACCAGTGTTTTATGCGTACTTTTGGTCAATTTGTTCAAGCTAACTTCATTGTTGTTGAGGTGTCAAAGCCATGAGTATAAGTTAGTTCATCGCTTGGTGCAAATGCCACCACCTTTTGAAATTTTAATTCATCTCTAGGAATATCTTTCTGAAATATGTTTCAATTGGAAACTGAATCTTGATTATTGTTTTAACTAATCAGTAGGACAAGATGTAGAATGTCTACATTTTTTAATATTTTCAACTTTAAACTAGTTATTTATTTATGATTTTCAGCTCCTATTTCTCAGAAATAGTAATATATTTGGTTCACTAGATTTCAGAAGCCGTCGATTTGTGCACCAGGCAAAGGTTGATGCAGTTTGCTTCAACAAACATGTATGAACGAATTGACATCCCTCAGATCTCCTTGGGGCTTTTGAATGGCATGGTCAAATCTGATTTTCCTAATGAGAAGTCCCATGCTCAATGGAAGAAGAGACAAGTAAGGATCATAGTCATGTTTGTTCTATGATGAATTCTTTCTGCTTCATGAGAAAGTTAAGGGTAACTTCTGAGGATAAAGAACTCAAGTTTCTTCTTACTGGGTGAATTAATAGATGTTGTTGTTTGGCATAGATACCCCTCGTAACTGGGAAATTATATCGACAACCCTATTAGTTGCTGATGCAGTATGGGCCATGGTTGGTGTTCAAGCTAGGCCTATGATTGAAGTTAGTCACATTAAGCTAATCCTATCTTAACTTAGCCTGAGCTTGGATGTAGGTAGTATAGTAAACCTGGTTTAGTCCTTTAATAGGAAATTGAGCCAGACCAATCCTATATATATACAAAACTGCATTAAGTTAATACTGATTAGAAATATAAATGAACTAAATTTATTTGGAACTACATAAAATTTGACACTTATCACGTGTCATTGTCTGTGTTGGGCTGAGCTTAAATTTCTATAGCCCCATCCAAAAGTCCGAGTGGCAAGAAATTCAGGCCCAAATGGTTCCACAGGCGTGTCATGGCCACTCATCCTTTCTTGGATTGTTAATAGTTGCCTATGGCTGAAGAGATGTGATGCAAGGTGGTTCACATGTGCGTTGATATGATGGAAACATTCTGCTTATCAGTTACAAAGGCCAAATTTTGTGGAATTTCTAAGTGATCCAAGTGAGGGATACAGAATATTTATGCCAAGTATAACTGCTTTCTAAGTAGTTCGTGAATTTTAATTATGCCATTGTAGGCGTTCGAATAATTTAACCAAAAAATATCTCTTCACTAGTTTAAAGCTAATCATTCTAATTTGTTAATGTAGGTAAATATTCTTGAAGAACTGTTATGTTCTGCAAATAATAGAACAACTGAACAGCAAACAATTGGAAGCTTGCTTACAAAAGTAAAAAATTCCAAGGTACAACACCCCCCCCCCTCCTCATTATTGGCATGTTTTGATAATATTAAACTCGAATGTTTGTTGGATCTGCTTGGTTTATTTTTTGTTGTAGGAATGGGACATCATAAAGTCCCCTTCTGAACGCGCTGAGGTCCTATTAGCGATCAGGGAGTTAGTTTTAGTGTTTTCATCTGCTCCTGCACGATTTGGCATCCATGGTGAAACTTATTATTGGACTGCTGGCTATCACTTGAACATTAGGCTTTATGAGAAGCTACTCTTTGGTTTATTTGACATTCTGGAAGAAGGGCAGCTCATAGAGGTATGTGTTTTCATCCTTGTCCTTCAGTTTATTGTCTTTAACATGTGCCACTATGTTAAATTGGAGGGATCCTAAGAATTTATTTTTTGAATTTTTTCTCTAGGAAGTGGATGAAGTCCTAAAGCTTATCAAGTTGACCTGGTCTACTTTAGGCATCAATCAGAAAATGCATAATGCATTATTTGGATGGGTGCTTTTTCAACAGGTATAAATTATATTTGAAGTAGTACTTATCTAAGGTATTGAAGATCTTATGGGTATTATTGTATAGTTAAGTTTCTTCCTCATTTATCTCTTTTCGCATGTATGTGTGTGCGCGCATGAGGGCATGTGTGTGCATGTGTTTCCTTTTTCTTTTCATTTTTTTGAACACTTCATTAAATTTATTAAATGATTATCTTTCCATCCATTATTTTTTCTTTGTTGTTGTCTTGAACAGTTACAAAATTATAATTTACAAATATAGTGAAGAGCAGTGTTCTCAGTATCTTACGATTTGATATTTTTGTAGAGAAATCAATATTACTATATATATGCAATACATTATGCAATTTACAATATGCGATACATTAAATTAGATGTATCGTACTATATATATACACACAATACATTATGCAATTTATGATTAGTGATATTCATAGTATACATGAATGAATTTGTCCTTATAGGTTCTGTGAACATGTTTCATTTTTCCATTTGCATTGAACCTTTCGTCAACTTCAAAGCATTGGATTGTAGATCATATCCAGGCTTCATGTTTGAGAATTATTTTACCATGCTCAGCTTCACTCTCTTGAATCATATAAGACTACCTAAATGCTATTTGATATGGTGTTGTCAACACAATATGTTTTCTATGTAGATTTTAGATATATCTAAAATGCAGTTTCTTCTCCATGGCAGTTTGTTGCAACAGATGAGGCTACTCTTCTAGATTATGCAATCCTTGAAGTGCAGAAAGTTTTATCTGCGGACAATAATAATGAGAAGGAGGAGCGATATATGAACAGCTTAATGTGTTCCACAGTATGCAATGGCAGAGGAATAAAGTTATGTTTGGCCCATGCTTTTTTTTTGTCAATGAGCACCTGGTGTGACAGTAAACTGCAAGATTATCATCTGCATTTTTGTCAGGTCCTCTTGCTACTCTCGAGTACACAAATTACTTTCTCATGTGTTTATAAACCACATTCAAAAATTTTATGGACTGTCTCCCGAATGTTATTTGCTCTCTAGCTTCTCTCTGTTTTCTTATGCAATGTAAATCATCATTTATTTAATTGCCCCGGGTCTCTTCTTATTTTATACTTTCTAGGATAATTTGTCATCAGGTATCTGGTTCAAATCTTTAGATTCTTATCTATTGTGTTATAGGACTTTCATCATCTGATTTTGTACCTTGTGCTTCTATTTTTAAAAAATTTTCTGCTTACTGGTTAGATTTTGTTTCAGAAACCTTACTTCTTCAGAAGTGTATTGACCTTGGCATTAGCAGTCGGAAATTATACTTTTGATGAATGTGGTGAAATCAAGGTTAGTCTTTCTGTAAAGTTCTGTACACTTTTTTTGTGGTAATAGAGTTTGTTCCATGGCTTTAATATTGCCGAGTCTTAATTAATAGTGCAATTAGTGAAGGCTTATGTGACCATTTGGCAGCATCTGATATCTTAAGTCAATAGGTAAGATAGTTGGTCCTAGAACTTGTTCTTTTTGTTTTTACCTCTTCACACCTTTAACTTAGAGGATGTGGTCATTTAGTAGAATCCCATTTTTCATTTTACTTAAGTGAAGGTTGTCCTAACAGTTATGCTCTATGTTTTTCGTCTTCATGGTTCTTGTGGGTGCCGTGCCCTTTTCGAGTATAAGGCATGCATCCCACTCCGACTTACTTTGACCAACAAAGAGTCGCCAATTAATTTTTTAAGGGAAATTAAGAAACCTTTAACAATGAAAACTAAGTTAACGACCAATCCATCACAACCGAGAAAATTCTAGGTTCAAGAGCTTAGATACAAGAGGGGAAGGTTATAGAATGATAGTACCCCTCTTGCCTAATCCAAAGATTAGCTTCTACTCACTTTCTATTTTATGATTTTAGTGGTTAATTATTTACATAAATTCACTTTGAGCCCTAAAACCCTTAACTAACCTAAGACTATATATATGATTTGAATAAAATGAAAATTATTTACTTTAGGTTAAGAGAATAAAGTCATATTTTCTCAAAATGATGATTTTTAATAAAAAGGTAGGTTTTATCAACCCATGGCCATAAATTCAGCCTAAAACGAATAATTTTCATAAAAAAGCATTCAAAACATACAATTTTGCATAGAAGAATATAGAAACTTGCATTATTTAAAAGATTATGCAAATAGCACACATATGCCAAGGAGGACAAGAAAACTTACCCGGATGCCCACAACATAGATACGGTCCTATCATACAGCTGAACATGCAAAACATGAACCTAGGCCCGGTTTGAGGCTACTAAATGAGGCTTATGCAAGGAAAACAACTAACAAGTAAGAAAACAAAAATAACCTAAAACTACGTGATGATCAAACCAGGCTTATGCATGCTTATTACATGATTAAAGTGAGCCTAAAACATGCTGTTTAATAAGAAATAAAGAGAACATGTGAAGATAACTGAAAAAGATAGAAAAACTAATAAACTACATGATGGGATGATGAGCTAACACCCTAACATGAATGAACACTAAAAAATGCAGGAAGGAACTACTGAAATATAGAGAAAATGAGTTTACCTTTTGGTTTCAGTAAACTGAAGAGAACGTGAAGAAAACGCAAAGAAAGCTCGAGTTCTTTGCTTGCAAACCTCCCTTAAGCTTATGTTCTGATTAGGGTTCATGTTCTTCAAGCCTTAGAATGTTTTCAGAAGTTCAGAGTTACCTTGGGGTGTGTTATTTTGCGAGCTAAGGTTAGAGGAAGGGAGAAGAAGGTGTTTGGCTCTCAAAAACCTCACAAAAGTTTTCAATTTGTTAACCTTTTGAAAGCGAGGGGGAGAGGGTGCTTATATAGGCACTAGGAGGCAGGGGGGGCAAGCTAGGGCAACCCCATCACTTTCTCTTCCGCCTCCCACCAGAAATGCACCAAGATTGAGTTACCAAAAATATCTCTGTCACGCTTGGATGTGCGCACGCACAAACCTTGTGCGCACTCACGTTTTTGCCTTGGTATATGTACCATGCATGTATGCACAAGTGCGGGGTTCTACACCCTTGGCTTGTTTGTGGCTCAAGTAAACCTGAATTGCCCTCTAATTGATGTTTTTGATAAGACTGGTCTCTAATTTTGGAAAATATATTCGATCAAAGTACAACCGGGCCTCTCTCTCTCTCTTTCTCAGGGTTAAAAGTTGGTTTTTGGCTAAAAACGAGTTCAGGAGTAAAATGGTCATTTTCGCAAAAAATTGATTTTTGGCCAAACAGGTTCATATAACAACTCCAAACAACTTTAAATATTCCAATGATGAAGTAATTACCATTTCATCATTGGGAGGCTTGCAAGCACCGCACCCAAAGTCTTAGGATCAATGAAAATGGGTGTCTACACTTCTTCATCTTCATTAATTGTTGTAGTCTGTGCAGTTTTTGCAGATTTGTCTTTTTGTTTTTTAAGTCTAAACTTCTCTTCCATGTTGATTTGAATAAATGTCAGTTTTTGCTGTTATTAATTTTTTTAATGGCCAAGGTTCTTATGCTTGCAGTTTTCCAAATCTGATGCTCTGGATGCGATTGCTGATAGAAAGCTCAGACTATATGTGGAAACGTCCATCAAAGCTGCATATTGGCGGGTTGGTCATGTTTTTGACTGCACTGGTCTTCTATTTCTGTGGATGGCCATTAGTGTAGTTAGATGTAGTTGACATGTTGCCTTAATAATCTCAGGTTGCAAATACCATAGATCTTGAATCTAAAATGGAAAGGACACATCCTTTGGCTCTACTTGCAAATGAACTAAGATTGATTGCTGAGAGGGAGCTCAATGTATTTTCCTCAGTGCTACACCAGTGGTATCCTGATGCTGGGATGGTCTCAGCCATTCTACTGCATCAATTTTATGGTGAAAGACTGGTTCGCTTCTATACGACAACTGAAGGAATTTTACCTCTTTGCAGCTGGTGTACCTTTTTGTTTTGTTATGTCTGTGCTTACCATTCTTCTCATTTTATTGATCTGTAGAATCCGTTCCTCAAGGGAGTATCATGTCTTACTGAAGAGGTTAGGTTAGTGCTTCCTGCAGCTGATATGCTTGATCATGACCTGACTCGGCTCTATTCCTCTGCATGTGAAGAAATTGCTTTGCATTCTCCTTGCAGCTTACAATTTCATCATTATCAGGTTAGGATATTTTTGGAGCTGAGTAACGTGTATCAGTTGACTTTAATAGTGGACATGTCAGTTGCTTGTTATTCCCGATTGTATCTTTTCCCTGTCCTGTATGAGTGGAAGAAAATTTTCTTTTAATCATATTATTGCCTTGGCCAGAGTTCAGGTTAGGTTCAAATCTTGCAATTTAGACTCTGTTATGGGCATAATGGTGTATGAGCAATTTTATTTCTATGTGACCTGTAAAATCTGGTTAAGTTGCTAAGATATCCTGATAAATCAATGTTTGAGTCAAAATCAAATGCTCAGCAAAATGTGTGTTTCAACCATTTTATTGGGTTGAATACCGTTCTGAGATCTATAAATGCACTCAACTTGGAAACTTGCTTAAGTTGAGTTTGCAGTTGGCTTGCTGTTCACAATGTTCACTAAATACTGAAGTAATTGAAATGATTTTTATTTGATATGAAGAATTTGCTTTTTTCAGCCTTAATCATATGGATCAACAAGGGCCCCATCCTCAATATGATATGATTGAAGGGGTCAAAATGTACGGATTCATAGATGAGGGGGGTAACGTGATATTCTCTAATAGTTGAGAGGGTGTTGGTGTAATTAACCCTTTGAAAATAAGGTAATATGGGAAAGTGACGATTAAATTTTTGAACTTTGAAATTTTGATACATAAAATGGGGCATTACGAGAGATCTTTATATATTTGTTATTTGAGGTATATATGATTATAAAGTCATCAAATCATGATAAATATTGAAAAATAAGAAACAAAATTGCAATAATCCAAATCAAAATCACCATTCAGTCCATAATTTAAAACCATTCTCTACTAATTTGAAAAAAAAAAGAAAAAGAAATCATTGACATGTATGTTACAAAAAATGTGCCAGTATAAGGCTTAACTTCCTTTTTCAAAAGCCTCGAGTCTGATTTCTGCAAACCCAGGGTTCATTTACAAAATGAAATGTAATGTTCAAAATCACAAAACAAAGAAAGCACAAGTGAGAGTAGAAAGTACTTAAAAAACACGAGGACAAAACCACAAAAAAATCTTCTATTTTTGTCACATTGGTTGTTTCATATATAATATATTCTTTGCCAATCATTATTGCCTCATGCCTGCATTTTCTCATTTCATCATGTGTATATATGTTTTCAAACATATTGTGGTTGTTTCATACATATTTTTTTATTTTATGGTTTTTTTTAATAATCTTATAATCGTTTTTTTCTGTTATGTTTTATTTGTTTGTTTATATTTATATTTATATTTATATTTATATTTATATTTATATTTATATTTATATTTATATTTATATTTATATTTATATTTATATTTATATTTATATTTATATTTATATTTATATTTATATTTATATTTATATTTATATTTATATTTATATTTATATTTATATTTATATTTATATTTATATTTATATTTATATTATATCGTGTCATGTTATCTTAATTGGAACATTTTTCATGCTTGCGTTAAATTTTTAAACCAGAATTTACTTGATAATCATTCTTTCACTGGGTACAAATTTCTTCTAAACGTAGGTATTGTTGTTCAACATGATTTTTATAATGTATTTCATTTGAACCCAGCTCAATGTGACATTGTGCCAAAACATGATAAAGGAGATGTATATGTTCCAAAGAGCAGAAATCATAATGAAGTTTTTCTGATTTTTTTGAGTTGGTTATAGTTAGAGGCTGATGTGGTTTTTCAGAAGTTTTATAGTTAATCAATAATCAACTTTTCTTCTCTGTGTATGTAGATTAGAGAAGTTTCTAGCCCAATTATGCTTGACTGGATAATTGCTCAGCATCAGCGTATCTTGGAATGGACTGGACGTGTTTTTGATCTTGAGGTTGGTCTCATACTGAAGAATTGTGCAGCCTATAACTGCATTGTAATTTGTTGTAGCAATTTTTCCAAATATAAAAAGTCCAGAAGAGGAGAAAGAGGGGAGGATAATGAGTGAACAAATGAGAAAAGTATTTTGAGTAGGGCAGGGAAGACCTATGTGCCGGGCCTATAGGCCAAGGGACCATGCCCCCTCCCCCCAAACAAAAAGAAGAAAAAACTCTTTTACATATTGTATATAATAAATAACCACTATATATATATATTTGAACTGTGGGTTTGACTCTATACTAGAATTATTTTAGCTGTTTTTCTTGTGTACAAAATTGTAGAGGTAGAATTATTATTTATGGAAATTATGCGAACCAATAAATGCCTTGGAATGGTGTTATGATCAATTTTTCATGATGACCCTTGTCAGATTGTTCAAAACTATATAATGATTGATATATATTTACCGAGTTTCATTTAACTATGTTTTTCATACTTGAATAAGAAATTTTTTTTGGTAGTAGTAGTATACCAAAAGTGAACTCAAAAAAACTATTCTTTTGGTGTTTTTGCTTTGGTCCTCCATGAACAAATTTTTTAGGTCTGCCGCTGGAGTAAGGGTATTGTGGATTTGGTTGTCTCGTGAACAATTGTAATATTTCTTGTGTAGTGAATTATAGAATTTTTACGCTTTCTTTTGTGTTCGCTGATGTTATTCTGTGGTACCATTTTTGTGCTAGGTTAATGATTGCTATGTATCTTTTAGCTTGACTATTTGTTGCTACTTATGCAGGATTGGGAGCCTTTGTCACATCAGCAAAAGCAAGCAGCTTCAGCAATTGAAGTTTTTAGGATCATAGAGGAAGTATGTATCATTGGCAAGATAACTTTTTGGTTTACTGCAATTCTTTATATAATAGTTGTACAAGAAAAAGGTTAACCCCATATCATCAATCATCAGAAGCAACTCAAACTGAGGTATTTTTGCCTAGAGATAGAGATATTTCATTCCCTTAGATTACTAGGATAGTCAATTTAGGCTTGACTTCTTGGCCAAGAGGGGTTGCTATTTGTTCAGAACGCTTCATGAGAGGTACTTTGCCTTGATTTTTGGTGTGTTTAGTTTTCTCTTTGAGGAGTCCTTGTCTCTAGGTATATTGTTCTTCACTTTACAAAAAGGCTTTTTTTGTTTTTCTTCTGTCAAAAGAATAAGGAAGACAATTGCTTTAAAAAGCTATTTGCGTTCTGTTCTTCTTTTCATTGGTTGCTGTGGTCTTTTCTGGCCATTAACTCTATAGTTGTTGGTTTGTGTGTTACTACATTTTCTTTCTTACAATCTTCTTCTTTTGAACATTTAATTAGCATTATTATTTTTATTTAGTCTGGATAAACTTGTCTTTTGTCTTCATGGCCCTTATATCCCACTTAATATGCAGACCGTGGATCAATTATTTGGGTTGAGTCTACCAATGGATATCACACATTTACAAGCTCTACTGTCTGTAATTTTCCATACCTTGGATATTTATTTGCTGAAAGTGGTCAGCCAGATAGGTACCTTATTTGTCCACATCTGTGATGTTAAAGTAGAATTTATTGCTTCTAATACCTGCTTCTTGTGTATAAAGGCTATTTTAAAATTGAATATCTTGGGTCTTGCTCACTATTAGATTCAACTGATAAGATTGCGTGAGAAATTCTTTTGATAACATAGCTATGTTCACCATCGTTGATGTGGCACATATTAACACAAGATATTAATTATGATGCCTTAAATACTGCAGTTGAGAAGCACCATCTGTGTCCTTCTGTTCCTTCACTGACGCGTTATGAGGAGACAGTCTTTTCTGTAATGAAGAAAAAGGTGGTAGGTGGTGTGCTTCTAGAAGAAAAAATAAATGATAAGGTGAATGCACTAACAACGTCGACCCTGTGCATCAGATTGAATACTCTCCAAGTGAGTGCCATTTTCTTTGAATTTATCACTAGCTTATCACATAAATTAACTAGCATTTCATTGCTCTTTTTAACCCTTTTTTTGGCGACATACATTTGTTTCTTCATGCAGTATATTCAAAAACAAGTTGACATACTAGATGATGGCATTAGAAAATCATGGGCACTTGTTAGACCATCTAAAAATCAATCACGGTGTAAGTTCTATTTTCCTGTGGTTTTGATTCACATTTCTTATTTATTTGCACATATACTAATAAATAGACAAAGAAACTCTAATGTTATATTGTCAACAAAATATTTATCAATACAATACTTAATTATTACTGGAAACACTATTTGGGGTTGGTGGGTTCCTCATCACACCACTCTTAGTTTCTATGCCTCCAAAATGAGGTCTCTCTTCATCCACCTCCTCAACGGACAACTAAGATCAACTTGATCCAAAGGTTATTATTAAACTTCTAGAATACTCTTAGGATTTACTTTCCTCATTCTACTATACTCTAGAATTGTCTACTCTACTTTAGTAGATAGTGGAATTTTCCACACTTCTTTAGAATTTTTTAGAATCCAGAACCTTCCGGATCTCTCTACTTCTCTAAGGTTCTCACTTCTAGGATGTTCTACAGCCTTTCAGATTTCTCTAGAACATTTTAGATTCTTCCAAGATTGTAGAATGGTGTGGCAGACTCTAGAGAGTCTGTGTTGAATCTCAACATTGCGGTCGCCTGTCAGCACTACATGTATATGAATTATGCATATCTATCTGCAGTAGACAATAAATCTAAATGAAATGGCGTAATAAAGAGTGAGGAAAAACAAAATCATAGCATTAATGGATGAAGGAAACTGGGGATGTCATACAGTGACATGTTGATTTTGGTGTCTTTTCTATGCCACGGTAGTATAATTTTGTGTTTGTTAGTTTGTAGTGTTCTAGAACATTGAGTTTATGATTTTCTCTTATTTTTCATTATGAAATTATTGGCACCAAATGATTTGTATTTAGCAATTTTAACAGCCACTCTTGTTTCATCCAGCCAAAGAAAAACCTCTGGAGATTTTAGAGAGCTCAGACTGTATGAGTACTGAGTCAGTTGATGAGCTATTTGTTGCCACCTTTGGCAGCATCAAGGATACTGCTGCTGATGCTATTAGAAAAATATGCGATTTCACTGGTGAGACAATAAACTTCACCATATCTGGTTTTGCTTTTTGTTTTTTGGGTTACAACATCATCATATTTATCTCATGTGTTTTATGGACTCCCTAATAGGACTTACAAGTAGATTATAGCTTAAGACTTAAGTTTTCATCTATTCAGTCAATTTATCCCATGCAGAGTATACTGAAGTTTGCTGGGAGGCCAATAATATTTTGAATGTACACATAAATGAAAAAGTAGCAGGACATACAATAAATACAGATATAGTTTTGTTATATGCATCTATGAATTAATGTACCATTGAATCTGTAGATGAAGGTTAGGTTGTCAGTATTATTTGTCATGTCTTCTCATATTTAACTGAAATTCTATTCTTAGCCTGGCATGATAGAACCCAGCAACACTTTATGTGGCTATTGAGATGAAGAATCAGGGGATGATTCCCCTATGAAATTCATAGAAGTTTGAATGTCAGCCACTACTGATGTGGACTCGAGTCATGTGTCAACCAATATTGCAGTTTGTATTGAATCATGCTGATTAGTATCAGAAGGATCTGTAAGTCATCTTTAGTTATAGTTTATATTTGTTTCTTCTGTGTTTGTTGTTTTTCCTTTCCCTTTTCTTCTTATTTTTCCCTCTGTTGGCATTGCTAGAGAATTCTTGTGAGGCATGCTCACTTAGTTTTCCATTTGTTATGATTTAAGAAGTGGGGCTGCTGATTCAAACTGAACAGGTCAGGACCTTGGGGGAGGACCAGATCCAATGTTCTTGAATTTAGTTCTGCAATAAATAGTGTCTTTGACATCTAATTAGTTTTTAACTCAATTGTATTGCTGGGTTGGTTTCAGTTGACACCAGGTGGAGTGGTTGGTTATATCTTAGTTCTTCCTTAGGGTTGTCAAAATAATTTTTTGGAATCTATTGGAGAAATTTATGTGGATGGGGCTAAATTGTTCCTCAATTCGGCATGCTATGATCTCCAAACAATTAGAAAACCATTTTCAATTTTAGCACATCGTGTAGAAATTATTTAGAATGTTGTTGGGAAGAAATTTGGATAATTAAATCCCTCTTGAGGGTTGGGTGGATGGGCTCATGGGAAGACCCTTACTGTTGAAATTTTTGTTCAGAAGGAGAATGGTCCTTCCTAACTGGTGCTGCATGTGCATAGAAGGGGGTGACGTGGTTATTCACTTTAGGGTGGTTGGGGAATTATGGCGTCTTTTGTTGTGGTTGTAGGGTAGCTGTGGTTGTTGGATTGGATGTAAGATAAGTATGAGTGAAGGAAGATTTGGACATTTTTTTAAATATTTTTTTAAGGACGTGAGGCTCCCCTGAATCAAGTAAAGAGTAGAGTGTGTATAGCTGGGTTAAAGGGAGGGTTGATCCCTTGTTACAGTCCTTTTTCTGGGGTTTTAATATTCATTCGAGATGCGTAAGGTATAGTTTTGTTGTTGCTTGTTTTTGTATTCTTGGGTGGTGCCGCTCTTGCACTTATTATTTATCAGAAACATTATTTAGATAGGAAAAGCTACTCACTAGAAACTCTATGAAGCCATCAACTTTAATAATATGTTAAGCAGTATATCATGTGGAATAGAAGTGTGTTAAACAACCTACAAAACTTTGTAACACGGGAAAACCAAGTTAAGTTGTGCAGGAGAGCAAGGAAATGGTAAGAAAGAGTGAGAAGTTATTAGATGAGTGGTATAATGGAATGGTTTCACTATATTCCTGTGCTGACTCTACGCCCTTGAGTTGGCTTAGAGTTGTGCATGGGCTAGAGAGGGCTCTATGGATTGTTGGCCTAGGGCTTTTTGTTTTGTAGGCCGAGTGCCATTATTTTGTAACGGTTGTACCCTTTTTAAATGATGTAAGCCTGTGGGCATTTCTCTTGTATTGATTGATTATTCCTTTTGATTTACATACTGTATATTCATTTCATCTAGTCAAGGAATATAGTCCTCTGAATTTCTTCCTAGTGGGAAGACACTGATGAATGTAATAATATTATTATTAATGCACTGAAATTGAAACTACCAGAAATATGGGAAGACACTAGTTAGCAACACTGTTACAACACTTGCCCAGTTTTATGGAGAAACCTACTGACTGTTTACCCATGATCCTGAATGATGCCTCCAGTTTCTTTATTACCTGGATAGCACCTATCATTGTTCAGCTTCATGCAACTTTTAGTTGGGAAGGTCATAGATAAGAGGAGTAATTTTCAGGAATCATTGAAATCAGAGGTGAGAGCAGATGTAATTTTTTTGGCTTGACATATGACATAACAGGCAGATGGTTTCTATTATGGAACTGAGGGCCATTTGATTAAATTGTTTGTTACCATCTGTAGGTTCAAATGTCTATCTCCGTTACGTGGCATTGACAATGACACGTCATATCCACATAGCTGTCCTACCTTGGCTCAAAAATCTCCATTGTCATCCTCTCTTTCATAAGAGTGCCTCAGCTCTCTCTCTTTTGCCATTGGTGGTCCTTTGCTAGCTGAGCAGATCTTCCCCAATCACGGCCATCCTGACCACCGCCACAAACACACTATCACTGGCCATACATATTCATGTGGTGTGCCTTTATGTATTTAGAATAAGACTTGTTTGATGTGTATAAATGAATGAAACGATTGTAACGACAAATTAGACAAATTAACGTGCAAAATCATGACAATTTTAAACTAATATGAGAAACAAGGAGCTTCTAATTCCACATATGATAATGTAGAGGTAGTTGGGTCCTTTGAAGGAAGATATTATGAGATGGCACAATTCTTATTATTATTTATTTTTTCTCCTCTCTTGTAGTTCTTTGCTAGACTTTGTGTGCCAACTTCTTTGCTTCCTTTGCTCTTTAAACCTTGAGCCATTTTATTTTACTAACGGAAGTTAAGATAAATTATACTTTGCACCCTTGTATTTTATATCAAATCCCACTTTGGTTCTTCATTTTTTAATTGCGACAGTGAGCTCCTTGCGCTTTTGGTCAAATTGCAATGTGGTCCTTTTGTTAATTTGGTGTTAAATTGCTTAATTATATAAAAATGGTAAACTACCAATAGGTCCTAATAGTTAGACTTAATTCCCATCAAGTCCTATTAAAAATAAGTACTAATATAATCGTCACTAAAAACAATTTTTTTGTGACGATTTTTTGCATGTCACTAAAAATTGACAATTAGTGACTTTTTTGTCACGATTTTTATAAATTGTGACTAAAACTTACAATTAGTGACTTTTTCTCTGATGAATTTTTCAAACTGTTGTTAAAAGTTGAAAATTAGTGATTTTTTTGTGACGATTTTTTGAAATTGTCGCTAAAACTTATAATTAGTGACATTTTTTTGTGACAATTTTCAAACTGTAGCTCAAAATTAACAATTAGTGACGTTTTTTAATAGAGTATGATGAAAAATGTTATTAATTATCATAGGACCTATTGGACAATGAGTTCACTTAGTAGGACTTACACGTAAGTCCCCCTAATAGAAATTGTTATGTGATCTTCACTTAAGGCATTTGTAAGGGAAAAAAATGTAATTTTATCCTCTTTTCTACTTCTCTATTTTTACACAACATTTTCTCACTCTACTATATTTTCTAAACACCACCATCAACCACCTCTTCCCTGCTACTCCCCCATCCTTTTCTCATGGTCCCCACCCCTTTCCCACTCTCCAAGGCCACTAGTCACCCTTTGTTTGCCGGCCCTGCCCTTTTCCTCCACCCAGTGACACGCCCCTCCCCTGCCCATCACCACCTAACACTACCCCCACCCCATTTTCACCACCTCGACCAGGTTCTACCCTTTCCCACCACCCAACGCCACCCTTTTCTTCATTGATTCCAACAAAACGCCACCCTTTGTTGGACATAAAGTATTAGGTATGTGGGTGATTTTCCAAATGCCAATCTTCAAATTTTCCTTTTTTTTTATTTATATTATTTATAATTATTTTGCTTTGAATTCTTGCAAAGGCTATCAGTGTAAGCCATTTTATGTTAAATCCAATATGATGGAGCAAGAGTAGTGCCTTGAGATATGAATATTTGTATATTATTTATTAAATTTCTCTGTTTGCTCGATCTTTGATGCTTGCAAATATGTATCCTAAACTTTGGTCTACTAAATATTCAGGAGCAAGAATTGTGTTTTGGGATTTGAGAGACTCATTCCTGTTTCATTTATATCGTGGTAGCGTTGAAGGTGCTCGCTTTGATAGTGTTCTTCCATATTTCGATACGGTAAGATATTTACGTAACTCTCTTTCTCCATTTTTCTGTGCTTGATTATTGTTATTAATGTGTCAAAACTACTGTTTTTAAAGTTGAGTTCCTTTTGGGAGGATTTGTAATGTTGAAGAATTTATGTAGGTCCTCAACCATATATGTGGACACATTGATGACAATCTCAGAGACCTTTTGGTATCAAGTATTTGTAGAGCATCATTGGTAAGCTCTTATGCTAGTGGGCTTGTCTGCCAAAGCCCCAATTTGTGTGGTTCTCATTTTGTTTATTTTGTGAAATAGGAAGGCTATGTCTGGGTATTGCTGGATGGAGGCCCTTCTCGCGCGTTTTCAGTTTCAGATATCACAATGATGGAAGATGACCTTAGCATGTTAAAGGTGTTTGATCTTTTTCTCTTTTGTACTCAACCCGGTTTTTGTTTTTGGATAAGGCCACTCTTTCTTTCTTCTGTGTGTTGTTGTTGAGGGGGGTGGCTGTGTTGTGGTTGTCATTCTCTTTTTGTTTGCAGACAGATTTCTTGCTTGCATTCTTTCTCCGAAAGCATGATATGCCGATCCTTCTTGTGTTGTATAATATGGTTTGGCTCATTTAAATTAATTAAAGATAAACTCCTAGAGATAGGTTTGCATCAAGTGCATGAAAGTTAAGAATCTTAAACTAACTTTTATATTTTTTAAAAACAACAAGAAGAGAACAATAGCATCTCTAAAGGTGATGTGCAAAATTTCCTAGACATCTTAAATTATTTTTTATATTTCTAAACTATTTTTTCATATATATATATATATATATTTTCATTCTCTCTCAAAAGCATTCACTCCCCAATTTTTTCCCTTTTAATTCATATACTGTCAATTTTGTTGGTACCATTCAAATTCAACTGAATTCTAGTCAATTCTGTACGTATTCAATAAAATAAGCTTTGCTAATTCATTCTATTGTTAGCTTTGCTACCAATGCTTTGTTCCAGTTCACTAATTCTTAGCTAAGTCCCGAGCCTTCACACTGAAGTTATTTATTTGTTTTCAAACGATTTGCTGGAGTTTGTTTACTTGTTGCATCATTGAAATGCTCGGTTTCAATTTACTGTCCATTATTGGGTGCTCATCAATGGAATTATGCTGCCGTACTCTGTAGGATTTATTTGTAGCTGATGGTGAAGGCCTTCCACGTTCCCTAGTCGAAAAGGAAGCAAGTTTTGCTCATCAAGTCTTAGACCTGTTTTCCCTTCAGGTTTGGTGCTGCATTTGCCGTTTGATTTCGTTGGTATTTCTGTTGTGTTGACCCTTCTCCTTTTTGCAGACTGAATCTGTAATCCAAATGTTGATGAGTGCAAGTGAACACATTTCAGTTGGACTGGAGTCATGTAAAGATGGGCGTAGGTGCTTAGGAGATGCTCACACCTTAATACGAGTACTCTGCCACAAGAAAGACAGGGAAGCCTCCAAGTTCTTGAAAAGGCAATACCAGCTTCCCGCATCTTCAGGTAATTAATTGTGCACCAACTTTAGTGCTTTTCAAATATTTTTTTGGGTCAAATTAAATTCTTTTAGGCCAAAAACGGTGGGCACTTGCCCTACATGCCAAATGTATGCAATAAAGAACAACAAATAAAGTTAGGATCCTTGAAAGCACTCCCTTACTTTCCCTTTAGACCAGGAATGTTTGGCTCCACCCATCTGAAAGTCCTATTATTTTCACTCCATAAGCACCACCTCTAGCATCCTCATTCTTTTCTTAGGCCATCTCTTACTCCAAGCAAACAAAACCCTAACCGCCATTTACGATTGGACTAAATTGACAATATCTAAAATTGAGTGTCAAAATTGAGCCAATTGGAACTACATTGATCAAAATTGAGCTAGCGTAATTTGCCCTTTGGGAATGTTGATTTCTGTTATGTGCTTACTTAGTAGTGCTCATGCCCCTAGCTCTACACCGGGTAGTTTTTGGATAGAATTTTGGCCTTCAGTTTTTTTGCGTTACATGCTTTATTGATCGACAATCGCAACACGTCTAAAGATACGTTTTTCATATCCATGCCACTGCAGCAATTTATGCTTATGAAATTTGGATATTTTCTGCAGAATATGGTGATACTCCAACAGGGGACTCAAATTCGAAATCATCGCTTATAGCTGATCACCTAATGCGAAGCACATCATCCCACTGGTCTGCGAAGGGCAGCAGAAGTTTCAGATCAATGAAGAAAAAGTTTAAAGATGGTTCATTGTCAATGCGGTTTGTATAAGCATATGTATGTCTGAGGTAAACAATTTTTTTTGACATACTTGATAACAGCACAAACAAGTGATTCATTTGAAAGTAACTGAGTAACCCAATTTGTAATTTTTTGTGTAAAAAAATGCATGAGAGCTTCCATTTTCGTAGGCAGTCAAAAATTCATAGTGGTCGTCCATAAATGGATCCGACTCCAAGTGACATAAAAATTAAAAATGTTGTAAACTTGCCAGACTACTCTGTAAGAGGAATGGAATGCTCCAGCTTTGAGCAATGATCATGGGCTTTTATAAAACTCGATCAAGCTTGTTTTTCATTTTTATGAAATATTTAAATCGAATTGTTTGTGATCTTTTAAGAAATTTGTTGCATTATAATTGTTGATTACGATGGTTGAGATATTGATAGGCTGTGTTATGATTAAGCAAACAAGTCTTAGGTCTCTTTTCGCAACGTCACTTTTTAATTTAAAAGCCAAGTTACTAAAAAAAATTGAAAAGTCAACAATTTATATTAAAAAGTCAAAATTTTTTTTCTCTTTATTTTTTTTCACATTTTTGTAAAAAATTACAAAGTTATATTAAAATACTAATTTTTTTATATATAATATTTTAATCAAAAAATTAAAAAGTTATTAAGAGAGTCTGATCCAAACGAGAGCTTAGGCTGTGTATGGTTGTCATATGTCCTCTCAACTTTCGGTGATAGAATTGCTTGTGGAATATTTGCTACTACTTTGCTTTGGAGAAGACACTGCTACACCTTTTTTTTTTTTTTTTTTTTTTTTTTTTTTCTTTCCTTCACTTTGTATTATGAGCAAAATATTAACTTATTTAAGTTTTACTGTGTAAAACAATCACGCAAGACAATGCTAAGCTACTTGATAGAAACCGAGTATTGCGGATTGTTGATTTTGATCATGTTGAAAGGTTAACAAAATGATGATTTATGATAAATCTCTTTAAAAACCAATTTTATCAGTGTGTGATTTTTCTTGCTAAATTATAATATTGCTAGAATTTGATAAAGCACTCTCTTTCTCTTGATGAGACAAATAATAGTTCATTTTGTGAAAAATATAGAATATCATTAGAGTAAAATTGTCAAATTATAACATTTTTGACACTTTAACAGCTAAGCAGGAGAAATTTCACCCATAGAAATAATTTTTTTTATGATCGTACTAATTTGAAAAATAAATCACTTTCTCCCATTTACATTCAAGTGAGATTTCTCCAATTTTTACTCGTAAAATTTTAATACTAAATTCTGCGAATCCAAATTCACAATTATAGTTCAGTTAAGATTTTTAAAAATAATTATAAATAAATGATAAAATTTATGAATATTAATAATTATAATTATAATTTTTTTTATGAATTTATAATAACTTTTTCCTATTATCACTGAGGTTCCATTTGATTAGAAAGAAATAAATGATGGAAAATGAAAATGATAAAGAGTGAAATAAGAAAATAAAAGGAAAGTAAAATATATTTTCTTATATAAATTTGAATAGGATGAAAATCTTATGAGAAAATAGGAATTCTAATTATAATTAACTACTTTTATAACATATTTTAACTTTTTTTGTATTTTCTTGTAATTTTTATAAGAAACGATAAAATTAGTTACCATGCTATTAAGAATTGTACAAAAAAATTAATTTTCTTGTAACTTCCACTATTTTTATGCTAAACAAACTCAAAACAATATAATTTTTTTCTATTTCTTTCATTTTCTACTATTTTTATCCTAACAAAACTAATGATAATTTCTCCTACATAATAATTTGCAAATGCACAGAGTGTGGTTTATGATGCCGAGTGTTGAAAGCTAATGCTCTGCTTAGGCCATCTCCAACGGATCATTAAATTTAAATTTGATAAAAAATGACAGTTTTTATTTCTTCAACGGTTTCATAAAAAAGATATCAAATTAAGAATGGGCCAAAACTTTCACCAAATTGAGGAGTTAGATCAGATTTCACTATTTCACTGTGTGTTTACGTTGAAAATGGATCCCACCAGACAACCGACCAAATATTCTGCTGATTGTCCCACCAGTCGTCCGGTTTATATAGAAAAATGTAGAGCTATAGCCATGTTTTGCCTGCGAATTGGCTTGGCAAGTTGGTTGTTTTTGTGACACTAACAATAAATTCAACATTAATCCATGATAGCAGAGGGAAATTCAGTGCCCAGAAATTTATTTCAACAATCTTTCAGAAATCTTCTTCCTTTCCTCCATCTCTAGCTTTCTTAATCATCACCTCAAAGTCAGCTTCTCTCTCTTCAACTCAGCTTCCAATAAAGTCTCTCTCTTTATCAAAACTCAGAATAAATTTAATCTTGAAGATTTTTTTTGCTGGGTTTTCATTCAATCACGCCTACAATTTCGGCTAAGTCAAATCAAACGGCTCATACACCTTCATCAAAATCAAACCAAACCCAGTTCACTCATTCAAAGACACTCCAATCCAAACACCGCCTTAATTTTAACACAGAAAAAACCTTCACCAAATCCAAACATCACAGCCAAAGAAACCCCACCAGCAGAGCATTCGGAGGAAGTGACCGGCTGGGGGGGCGCGGAATTTTAGTTTCCTTGTCCAGTCAGTTGATTGGCCGGTCGTCCTCCCACACGTCCCCTGTCTTTTGATGAAAATTACAATTCATCGTTGGAACAGTTGATATCAGATTGATGAATCTATCTTTTTTTTTTTTTAACTCAAATTTAATAAAAAAATTAGTAAATAGTTGAAGATGTTCTTATACCAAACATAAATAAATATTTTAGTAAATTGTGTGTAGTAGTTCGAAAAGAGTAACGCGCTCGTGGACAATGTATTGCCTTTTTATAGAGGTGAGTCAGGTCTAAATCTTAGGGTATGCTTTTTTTACAGAGATTTTGGGTTCGTTTGCTTTGAATTTCCCAAAACTTTTTGGGAAAATTTCTCTACAAATGAGTTTTCAGAAAAACTCAAATCAAACAAATTTTTCCAAAATTTTTTTTCAAAACTTGTAAACCAAACAAGTTTTCCAAACAAATCTCTCTCTCATACACATCAAATCAATCACTTTTTCCAAAACTCTCTCTCAAAATAATTTTCCAAAACATCTTTCCAAAAAAACCAAACCAAACAACTTTTCGTACTTTTTATCTCCCAAACTCATCTCCCAAAATCAAACCAAACAAGCCCTTTGTGTTGGAATTTAATCGGAATTTAAGCTTTTTTGTGACGTGTGACTAGGTTTATTGAGTGCTTCAGTGATGGATCTCTTCTCATGAATTGGATTAAATCTGATCGGTAATCAATTATTTTGAGAAAACCCACAGATATTATAATACTTTTATAAATAAATAAATAAAGGAAAGGACTTGGTTAGAGTTTTTTAAAAAAAAAATTTAGAAAATTTTATTTTTTTATTTTTTATATTTTATATTTTATATTTTTATTGAATTTTTTAAATATTTTAAAGTATTTTTTTTTAATTTTTAGATACATCTAACATAAATATATTAAAAAAATATAATTTTCTTGAAAAAATACATTAAATACTAAAAATACAAAAAAATAAAAAATTAATATATTTTTCGTATTTTTGTATATTTATTAATTTTTTAAAATATTTTTTCACAAATATTTTATTTTTTAGATACATCTAAGTAAGGTACATTTAAAAAAATTTAAAATTTTAAAAATATTTACTAAAAATATAAAAAATAAAAAATTCAACTTTTAAGAAATTAAATTCAAAAAATTAAAATATCTTCCAAAACAAAACAACTTTACAACACACATATTTAGTGGGTGTTTGTGAAGTGAGTTTTATGTAGGTTTTTTTAGTTGTAGGATTTTATTGGAGAAAAAAAATTTAATATTTGGGAAGATAGTTGGATTTTTTTTGTGGTTAGATGTGATGTTTATGAGAAAAAAAGTGAAATAATTATGGGGTTGAATGTGATATTTTTTGTTTGAATTTATTTTTTTTTGATTTTGCAAAAAGTTTGTCATTTAGTGAAAAAAATCAAAAAAAACCAAACATACAAATTTCCCAAACATTCCAACTTTACAACACACACATAGGAGTGTTTTTGAAAAGTTTGTAAAAAATTAACTTTTTAACTTTTTTGATGACTTTTTTGGATTATTTTGGATAGAAAAATTGACTTTTTTAGTTAAAAAATTTGAAAATCAAAAAATTAACTTTTTAGCATGGTTACCAAAATGCTCCATATTTTACTTTTTCAGAGTCAATCCACCAAACGCACAAAGACAGACAAAAACACAAATTCTCAAAAACAATGGGTGTGTTTGGTTTATATTTGAAGATAAATTTAAAAAAAAATATTTTTAGAGAAAGAGTTTAGATTTTTTTTTTAAAATTTGTTTAGTTATATATTTTGAAAATAATTTTAGAGTTTAGGAGTGAGATGATTTGATATTTTATTATAATTGAGCAGATATGTGCGAGAGAGAAAGTAATTGAGAAGGAGAGAAGAGAGAGAAAAAGTGATTGATTGATGTTTAAAAGAGAGAAAATAATTTTGGAAAAAAAATTCAAAAAATTTGAACATTTTTCTCAAAAATTGTATTTTGAGATATAAACCGAACAAGCCCAAAGGCTTCGTTTGGGATGTATGTTGACTTTATGATTTTTTGATTTTTTTAGTCTGGGGCTAAAATGGCCTTGTTTGGAATGAGTTTTTTTGACTTTCGTGAGAAAAAAATATAATGTTTATGATTTGAATATGAGAATTTTTAGTCTGGAGCTAAAAAATTTATTTTATCTTTTTATGGTTAAAACAGTCCCATCCCATGCCGAACCCACATGCCAAATGACTACAAAATATGAATGCTCAAATTGGTTTATGAAATGGGTAATGACAACAATATATGGTATTGTTTATGTAGTGTATGAATTCTTTTTTCGGTTTTGCTTCATACACCCAGTGGGGGTCGCGCCCCCAGTGACGTGGCGCGCCCCCACTAGTCGAAAATCAAAAAAAAAGAAAAAGAAAAAGAAAAACTGTTTTTTTCGGACCAACCCCCAGCTGACACCTCACTGGGTGTCACCCCCAGCTGGGGGTAAAATGCATTTTCCTTCTGTTTTTTTTTACATATAACAAATGTTGATTTACATTTTTAAGTAGGTAGGAGGAATGATTGGTTTAATGTGTGTTGTGGTTTCTTATGTAGTGAAAATATTATATAGATAATGTTACATGGTATTTCGAGAGTATCTAACGGTTTTTAATCAAGACGGTAAACATTTGACAATCGGATTGCTTGGTACAACTTATGGAATTGCT